GAGAGAATAGTCGCGCTGGCTACCCCTCCTTGAGAGCAAGCCGTTATGACGATTATTTTGGTCGTTCTTTTTGAGAGAGTTAGGAGGTATATGAGGAAGCGGATTTCTCCCTGGAGATGCAGTATTGCTCAATGCATGCTTCTATGGCTTCTCCTTCACTCGTTTCAACTAAGGTTATGCCTCCTTCTGAACATGAGGAACAATCGCACTTGTGCGAGCATGCTCAAGAATCTGTTAAATCCGTATTGCAGGATTGTTTTGATAATTTCGAAGAGCATGGAGATTTGTAGTAGACCTTTGTGATGGGGCCCTAGGCTATTGGAATGGCATTATTTCCTTATGTTAAGCAAGAGGGCTTTCGAGTTGTCCTAATGCAACGAAAACAACTGATTGTCAAGCGAGAAGCGAGTGCACCCTTCTGGGTCATAAGCTGGTTACGAAGCAAGTTTCATATACAAAATATGTTACAAGGCGACTTTATCATCAAAATGGTCCGCATGATATCCATTCCCATTTTGTAATTTGCAGGAATCCTAGATAATCTTTGGATAACGTGTAACGCTTCTTTCGCGAATACGACTTGAGAAGAGGAAAATTTGTTGTGTCATCTAATTGTATATTGTTGCCTACAAAGGCGGCGAATCTTGATTGAAACTCGGGATGACCGAGAGGATTTCCATCGAGCGTAAACAGTTCAGGTTTGAAGAGGATGGAGGCATCAACAAATTTCAAAAGTGGGACATCAGTGGCTTGAAAAAAGGAAGGATGAAGGTTGGTCTCTGTGCTCCCAAGTTTTTCTTCATCTGGCGTCTGGCTTCCGGAAGATATAGAAGAAAGAGTGAGCTGGCGGCTTGCGTATTCCTGGTCGAAGAAATTCAAAAGGGTAAGATCTTCCAATTGATGGCGTCAGCAATAGCAACGTGATTATCGCCACATTTCTTAGATTTTAGCAAATACTTATTGTTCTTTAGGGCTGGCTTGTTGCAGAATTTCCCATTTCTCGTCCAACTTCGTGATTTTGGTGTGCGATTTGAGCAGACTTGGTCGGATAATGGTGATTTCCAGGCGAACTGTTTTGATATCGTCGTCGCTGAGAGCCTAGAGTCGTTAGCAGAGAAATAACAGATTCCCTCAATAAGTGTTGCTTCTGATTTTAGTTATTTTTTGTAAAATCCGATCTGTCGTCAGATGCTAGCGCTTCCATCAGACATGAGTATTGAATGTGAAGAGAACGTAGCTC